ATAATACATAGAAGACAAGTTTAATGTGAATTGTTTACTTTATTAACACTAAGTGCAAACAGTCTTTTGTTCAGCTCTTTCAGTTTTCTTCTTTTCTTGCTTAAGTAATGAAGGGAGCACAATCTTTAATCAAGGCTTCAACAGTAAAAGACTAGACTTAATTTGAAAGCCCAGAGAGGTCAGATTCATTCATTTCAGCCACGTGCTGAGGGCTTGTTAGATCAGGCACTGGTCTAGGGTGAGGGTACAGCATCTAGAATTGGACACACAAAGTCCTTACTTTTGAGGAGCTATGTCTCCATTTTCATCTCTTTCTAATACTCAGCCAACACGGTACCTATGAAAAGGCCTCAGAATGCTTTCATGTATAGGTTTTATGCATTTGAGTTTTTAGTTAATGTCTTAGTCCTTACAGCCTTTATTTATTGTAAAAACTAGACATATAATACACACAGTTGTAATAGTGGATGATAGAGCTAAGTAATTTCAGGACCCTAGCAGCCAACACATAATAGTGGTCCTTACAGTTCAACAAACATTTACTAAATTCTTGCAGTGCGTGAGGAGGCCCTATTCCAAGATCATGGGCGATACAGGGATCGATAAAACATGGTTCCTGTTCAGGGAGCTTATAATCCTGGTGGGAGAAGCGAGCACTTGCACAGCCACCTCCAACAGAAGGCAGTGTGAGCGGTGTAGTATATATACAGTGATCTTAATAACAGTCTGTAGTTCCTGTTTCTGCTACAGTGACTTGGGAGAGGTGGCTTATAGGTACAGACGTAACTTTCTGAAGTCAGTCCTCTGGGCAGAAAATGAAGTTTGAATTTATCCTCATGTTTGCCTTGAGTCATTTGACTTAACACCAAACTTTTATCATTTCTTACTTGACATATCCCAGTCATTTAAAATTGATTACCATTAACTCCTAGAAGCTGCTGCATAAAGATTCAAGAATTAAAGGCAGTGGTTGGGGTCTCAGACAGGGGTGGCTGCAGAGGGTGATGGAGAAGCGTTGTGCAGGGTGAGAACTCTGTGATGTCCAGAGCATTCTTGGATGCTGTATGAAAAAACCTGTGGCAGTTATCCGACAGAAGATGGGATCTCCGGCCACTAGTTTTAACTTTCATATGATGTTCTAGTTAATGTGTTTGTAGCATGATATTGCATAATATAGCGCTGAATCAGTTTGGTTTAATCCAGTGCAGATGCATTCTAGCCTTAGGAGTTCTGCTTGCTTAACTTTCTTAGGACAAAGAATGTGACTTATGCCAAAATTGAGCAATGAGTAATGGCTTCACTGTGGTTTTTCCTAATTTGCTATTTAAAATTTAAGTCTCATTGACTGATTATTAACCTGTCTAAGCATTTAAAATATTTGTAAGTAATTAGTCTGCTTTGTGAATGGCTTGAGTAGTCATTAAAGTGGAATGTCAACTTTTTTTTATTGGAAATACTATTTTTGTTGAGCTCTCCTTCCTTTGTAGGTGAAAAGTTATAGTTCTCGCATCCTTTGCTTAGTTGGCTCTTTGATTTGATCCCACACAGGTTACCCATAGGCATGCCCGTGAGAGTAGTGCAGATCTGGTTAGATCTGAGGCCACCATCAAACAAGAACTCTTTTATAGAGTCACAGACTGCTACCCCCAAACCTCATCATTAGTGCAGTGTGTTTGCTGTTTCGAGGGGATCTGACAAATGTGTTCATATCCTTCACTAGTTTTGAAAACATGAAAGCACTGAGTACTGGCTTCCAGTGTCGTGAGCAAGAGAGCATCCCCGAAAGGAGTCTTTCCACAATGCCAGGTTTATTAGGGGACACCTCCCCAATAAGATAGTAGAGTCACACGCAGGTTCACACAGCAAGGGGGAACTTAAGTGATAGGAGAGAGCAGAACGAGCATCCGACGTGAAGTTCCTGGTCACTGGCGGTGCCGACAGGTGGAGAGGCCAGCATCAGTCTCAAGCCAGGTGGCTGCGGTGGTGGCACATGTCCGATAGAGTGGAAAGACTCCAAGCGTGTCCTGCGGTACAGCCAGGCATGAGCGTTGGGTGGTCGGACCTCTGAGCTCTTAGAGCCCACAAAGGGTGGGTGTCCTACTCATATTGGCGTCCCGATGGAGTCCTTATCCAAGTGTCCAGACTTGTGGTTTGGCGTTCTGGGCCCCTCCTAAGGGCATTCTCCTTGTACCCCATAACCTCAGTATTGACATAGCACTTGACATAACTGTCATGGCTGACAGATATGTTCTTTTTTTCAAGATATTTTGGGCTATTCGGAGTTCCTGGAATCTCCATATGGATTTTAAGATCAGTTTGTCAATTTCTGCAACAACAAAAAAGTCAGCTGAAATTTTGATAGGGATTGTGTTAATCTGTATGTTAATTGGGGAAATAGTGTTTTGTAGTGTTCAGAGTATAAGTTTTGTACTTCTTTGGTTAAATTTATTCCTAAGTATGTTCATTTTGTTGCTATTATAAACGGACTTGTATTCTTAATTTCATTTTTTATTTGCTCATTACTACTACAGAAATGCAATTAATTTTTATATATTAATCTTATCTCCTGCAACCTGGCTGAACTCATTTATTGGTTCACATAGTTTTTAGTGGGATTGTGTCATCTGAAAATAGAGATAGTTTACTTCTTTCTTTTCAATCTGGATGCCTTTTATTTCTTTTTCTTGCCTAGCTGCCCTGGTTAGAACCTCCAGTACAATGTTGAATAAAAGTGGGAGCTTAGTCATTTTAAAATAAAGTCCTAGGTTAACTAATGGTCAGTGATGGGACCTTCAGAGCGTCCCCTGGATTTGGGGTGAGAACTGGGTTCTAAAGCCTCCATGGCCAGCTGGCTCCAAACCACATGCTGGTGAATTCTGCCCCTGCCGCCTCCAGGGGATGCGTGTAGCAGCTGAGGTGCATCCAGCTGACAGCCAGAGGGCTCTTGGAATCCTTCCCGCTAAACAGCTGGCTGGCTGGTCTGAACCGACCTGTTCTGGCAGCTTCAGTTTGGGACGATGATCTTGCGCAGGGTTGCAGTGTGGGGATAGTTTTCGTAGTCCACCCTTTAAATCTTCTATGTGGAAGAGAATTCCTAGGAGGGATGAAGAAGCACTTACTGTGCTATACTTTTTCATGTTCTCCTAAATCCGTGTCTCCTACCCTACACCCTTGGTAATGGTAAAAGAGGAGTGTGTGTTTCTTTTTCAGTTTGAGCGAGGGAGTGGAGGACCAGAGAAGTCACTTGCCTGAAGTTTTAGAGTCAGTCTGCCGATGGGCAGTGTACTCTCTGTTGTTTCGTAGCCGTCTGAGCACATACAGTTTGTGCATTAGAGTCCCAGGGTAGCTCTTCTGGGCCTAGAAATGAAGTTCTAATAAAGAACTACCCAGTGGTTGGGATCCAGTGCTATGATTCTGTGACTTTTGGCTGGTGCTATAGTTATGCCCATTGGTTACTTAAAATGACAAAGTATACTGAGAACTAACTGCTGATACCTTTTTCTGCCTCCGTCACCTCCCAAGTAAAGATGAACCCTCAAACTCTTCCTTGGAACTCGCTCCCCCTCGGTCCTTTCTATTAATAAAAAATAGCAGCATATGGTTAAAATGTAGAAGTCTATGTAACGAAGGTATGTTTTTAAAATAGATAATTTGAATAGTTTCAGTTACCTTTTAATTTGCTTAACTCTGTCCCTTTTCTCCTCCCTTCTCTTTGCCCATTTTGAACTCAAAAGAACTTGAAGGCAATACTTTGTACAGTAGTTCCAGACACTTGGGTTTGAATCAGGCTCTGCTACTTACTATCTCTGTGATCCTTAGTTTGCTTAACCTCTCTGTGCCAAAATTTGTTGCAAGGAACAATATTAAAATAACCTCATAGGATTGCAGCAATGATTAAATGAGTTATTTAACACATATAAAGTGCTTAGAAGAGTACATGGCATGTAGACTGTACCCAGCACATGTTAGCTGTTTATTGTTAAAAGTAGTCATAATAATAAAAATATTACAACTACCACTGCAACTACTATAGTCTTACTCTAGCTCCAGCTCCTCTGGTCAAAGTTGAACTACCTGTAATTAAGCTTATTTAAAAAAGAATTGAAGGCGATTTGTCCGTTACACATACCTTCCTCTCGTATCGGTTGGGATGGTAAGGGACAGGAGGAGAATGAGACAGGTTGACAGGAAATGACCTACGATTTTCTCCTGGTTCCCCCTCTTTGGGCTTCCTAAGTAGCTAGGAAAGTGTTCCTCCTGACTGGAGCTAGCCCTGGGCATTCCTTGCTCACTCAGTGTTGGAAAACCAACCACATTCTAATCTATAGATGTAGGGGTTAATTTTAGCCAGCCTGGGGACAACATATAAAGGGGGGGGATTCAGAAAACCCTCCTTGGTCACTTTCAGATTTTTCAAGATGGATTCATGTGGAAAATCAGCAACACAAATGCGGGCATGAAGGGAATAATTTTTTTTTTTTAATTCTCACCTGAGGATATTTTTTCCATTGCTTTTTCAGCGAGAGTGGAAGGGAGAGAGAGAAACATCGATGTGAGAGAGACATCGATTGGTGGCCTCCTGCATGCGCCCCAGCCAGAGCCAGGGATGGAGCCTGCAACCAAAGTACATGCCCTTGGCCGGAATGGAACCCGGGACCCTTCAGTCAGTGGGCTGATGCTCTAACCACTGAGCCAGACTGGCCAGGGCTAATTTTCATTCTTTTAAGATTTAGATAGGAAACATCCAGGATCAGGTTGTCCCCAAAGGTATTTACCATCCTAAGATTTGATGTGATGTTAATTTCTGTCTTAGGTTTTATTTTAATATTGTAACTTCTGGGAAGTTCTTGGCTCCCAGGAACTGTAGCTAGAATCCCTCCCAGTGTCTGGCATGCTCCCATACAGGCAGTTAATCTGGGACTAGGTACAGGTGCAGTTAAAGCAGCTGAACAGAACCCAGCGCCGTCTTTAATGCCCTGTTCCCTCCTCTCAATCCACAGGCATCTCCGACGAAGACATCATCAACATTACCCTTCCTACCGGCGTCCCCATTCTCCTGGAACTGGATGAAAACCTGCATGCTGTTGGGCCTCACCAGTTCCTGGGTGACCAAGAGGCTATCCAAGCAGCCATCAAGAAAGTAGACGACCAAGGGAAAGTGAAAAAAGCTGAAAAATAAAGTCTTTCCCAAGTGCTGGCTAGGGATAGCTGCAGAAAGGAGTGGCATGTGGTGTGTTATGGTGCTGACTCTCTCTTTTTTTTCTTTTCCTGATTTTTTCCAGGGCTAGGCCGTGAGGTGAAGTTTGTGCCAGTAACTAGGTATCTTGTGTTGGCCTGGGTAAAGACATTGGGGTGCCTGAGTGCTTATGTCATAAGCCTCGTGGGTTAGCCCTCCTGCCAGCCCTGTTTGAGTTAGCCACTAAACGAGTCACCAGTGGGGGTTTATTAGTGTCACGAGTTTCTGAGATGGGAGACTGATAGTGGAGGTAGAGTGTAAGGTGGTCATCATTCAGCAAATCATCATTGAGTCGCCACTGACAGGTACTAATTGCTCTAGTAAGAAGTTCACTTTTACATTTACTAAGGCTTTCTGGGATGATAGGAAAGGGTATTAGATCACACACTATACTTAAGTATTTATTACTAGCCTTTTCCTCTAGGAAAAGGGATGTTTTCATAGGCAAGATGAGAGGCCCATTAAATGGGAAAGCCACAGATGGGTTCCCCCAAGATAGCCAGCCATATACAAGGCCCTTCGCTCTGTCTCTAGTCCAGAGACTCCTTTGTTTGACATTTGGTGGAATTCCTCTTTGGCAACTAGAAATAGCAGCACATAGACAACTGTAGCTGTTTGTGTTCGCTTGTGTTTTGTTTTTGTTTTCTGAACCTTAATCTTTGGGTACTTAAAATTGGTTTAAAAATAAAGTTCTGTGACCAAAAATGATACCCCGAGTATCTCTATATGATTCATAAATATTAGATAAAGGCCTCTGAACTGGTCTTCTGCTCATATCTTCCTATAACACTCAAAGAGTGACACCTTTTTTTAACACATAGACACTCCTAATTCTCTGTAAATTGAAGCTTGGTGTCAGGGAGAAGGTAACATATGGGTGTAATTTATTCACGTGAGCAGGGGAAATATGCTGGAGCTTTCACATACGTTTGTTCATCTCCTGAGGGCTAAGAGTAGCCCAGGGTAGGCCATGGATAGAATTGATTGCTTATCAACTTGATACTGTTTTCCATCATATATTTTTAGATACTATAGGTATGTAAGTCATTTCTTTAAGCTATTGCGTTTTTCAAAGCAAGTAACATATTTCAATGATAAAGTGAAAAATTTGCAGCTGTGATAGCTGTTGCAGATATTTGCCAGTTTTTTATGGCTTTCCATTGGTGGATTAGCTTATTTATACCCGTGTTATAGTAAACTCTCATTAGAAGAAAACTAATTCTAAAACCCTTGCCACTGCTTGGTCTCCATTTAATCCTTAAATCAAGACTCATAGAGCATTGGCTGATGAAGGTGGCTGAAAGAGACGGACCTGGTTTGCTCACAGCTGGCCACATCTGTGACACATACTGACGTGGAATGTGGATGCTTTAAGTTTCTGACCAACTCTGGCTTCTCAGCTGTAGTCCTTTTCAGTCTAGCTGCTTAACCAAATGACACTCTTTAGAATTCAGAGATCAGAGTCAACCACCAGCTACCAGATATTTCTGCAATTCCAAACCTACCGTTGGGCTGCAGCTCAGGTCATCTTGAACAGCTTCATCTCTGGAATTGGCCTCTGAATTTTCCAGCCCAAGTGGTGACCATGTCTTAATGCAGCTCAAGATCCTAGGGTTGGATGTCCCCTTGTCCTGCATCTAGATGTCGACTTCCAGGCGCCCCTCGGCAGCGTGTTATGCTTCTGTACACAGAGCTATACTCACACCCAGTCACTTTGGAATCTTGCAGGCTTCCTCAGGTAGGGATAATTTTTGGATGCTTTCTGATACTATTTGGTTTTATTGTTTTTGAGATCTTGGCTGAAAGAAATAGACAGTCATGAAAACATAAAATTATACTTCAGCACTTTAACCTTGGGTCACCTAGCGAACCTGTTTTCTTTGCATGGCTTACAGGGTATTCATAGTTTTTGATGAAAGAATCTTGAAGGCTGCCTAACCATCCTAATTTGGCATCCTTCTGTGCTATGTCAAGCTGGGACCAAAAACATGGGGGATTTTTAAATTTTATTCCAAATAAATGGTAGCTTGTCTAGAAATTTGGTCCTTGGAGAGGGCAAGCCCATCCTGTTGCCAGGCTGGGCTTGCCCTGGAACCAGGTATACATGTCTCCTTTGCCCAGGCCCAAATGATTGTCCCAGTGGTAAAATGAGGGCAGCAGCCAGATGCTACTCCTAGAGTTTTAATTCTTAAATATCTCAGCTGAGGACTGTATCCCTAGTACACGGAGACTTTTTCTATAAGAACACAAGTTCTGCTGCAGAAATTGGAGATTCTTGTATCATTTAACTTGGGCACTGAATTAGCAAAGCATCCTCGGTTAGAATGCATTATGTCACGTATTTTCCCTTGATAAGATGTGCAAAGGAGAATTCTTCACGTGACCTGGCTATTGCCAAGCTCGACCAGATTCTTGTGCAGATTATTTCTCACCTTGGATTATGGCCAGCTTATGAAGATGCGGTTGCTACACATGCACATCAATGGCAATGGTGGTTTTCTAACCTGGGAAGCTTCCCCACACTCTATAGCTTTGGGGTGGTGATGTAAAATGTTATTTTTTGGTCAGTGTGTGAGCCTGTTAAAGGCAATCACCATTGGGTAACAATTCGCCAACTTGGTGGCCACAGCAGAAATCCTCCTGGTCATATTGTCACCTCCAGGAAAGAGAGAAATCAGAGGTCAAGTACCACCTCCCCTTTCTATTGTGTATATAGTTCTTTATTTTCCCAGCTCCTTACTCTTTTTAACAAAATGGGGTAGGGGAAACAGCTTAACTAGACAGAAGTTTATTATCCCCAGGGCCATTTTTAATTCTTATGCTTTTACAAGTGATAAATGTCTTTTCAAAGTTCAACTTCCCTCTTACCCAGAAAGCCCTTCATAGGTTTTTCCCGCAGATATACACCAAACTTGTTGCAGATCTTGATCATGTTTCCTATTTTTGTGTTTTGCACAATTGGGTTTTGCAAGTATTTGGCTCACTTTTATAATACCATTCGTTGTAGTAAATCAGATACGCAGCAGATCTGGCTGTGGCAGATGCCACCTTATGTTGTAGTCTGAGGGTTTTCACGTTGGACTATGAGGGGAATTTAAACCACTGATCCCAGGAGAAATAGGAAACATCCAAAGTATAAGAATATTATAACCAATCTTCCTCTAATGATAAAGTTATTTGGCAAAATGATGGGCAGGATTAAAGTCACTCTTTTCCCACTTCACAATTGGTAAATTTTTTTATTTATTGGAGGGAAATCTAGCTATTACAGCTTAGTCTTTAAGACCCTGTGACCTTAAGTTGCCAAAAACAATGTTTCTTTGACAATATTTTAAAGGTAAGCTGTCTCCTCACTCTCTTCCTCCCACCCTACTGGATTATTTTGAAACAAATGCCAAACATCAAACAGGATAGATTTTGAAAAGGCAAACGGCTTCCGTAGCCTTCAGTAAGTGAGAACAGAAGCCGTCAGTCGTCTGTTCTGAACTTTGCCCTTTCTCGTATCTAGAGCAGCCAAATGGCAGCCCTTGCTTAGTTGTTCCGTTTGTATCTTGTGCATAGTCTGTTATATCTGGTTGCGGTTAGTCTGTTACGTGCAACTTGTGCAGAATTATGTGGCATGATTTGGTAACTGATGTTAAATTCAAATTTAAAGATGAAAGTATTTACGAGACTTTTAAATAAGTAATCCTGAAACAGCTTCGTAGATTTAAGAAATGAGCATATTTGTTGACGTTGCTGTAAATCAGGCTGCTCGCTGTGGAAGAAGGGAGATTCAAACTGGAACAAGTTAAAGAAGGCTGTTGTATTGGTTTTGAGCTGGAGATATTTGTGTGAATGCGTGGGGGGGGGGTTATGTATTTTCCTTTTCCCAATAGCACCCCTCCCACCCCCACTCAGATCTGGCTTTGTCCTCTGGAAAGTCCTAGAAGCAATAACCTAGTAATAAGGAGCACACCTAGTTGCCTTGCTCTTGCTTTCTAGACACTGTGCCGCAGAACCAGAGATGTTGGTTGATTTCAGGTTTGAAGCAGAGAAAGTACAAGGTGAGCCTGGAACATCTTGAGCCACAAAAGAGAGTGCTCAGAGACCGATGGGACACAAAAATTGGCTTCAGGTGTCAAATTTGGGAGAATTTGAGATTAAAGAGAAGAGTGGTGATACTAGATTATAGAACATTTGTCTTACTCTGCTCAGGCTGCTATAGCAAGACACCATAGACTAGGTGGCTTCAACAACATTCGTTTCTCACAGTTCTGGAGTCTGGCAAGTTCAAGGTCAAGGTGCTGGCAGACTCGGTGCCTGACGAGGACCCTCTTCCTGGTTTTCAGATGCCTTACTCCTCACATGGCGGAGAAAGGGGGGGCTCCGGTCTCTCTCATAAGAGCACTAATCTCATCATGGGGAATCCACCCTCATTGACCTCTTCTAAACATGATTACCTCACAAAGACCCCACCTCCGAATGCCATCACATTGAGTATTAGTGCTTTAACATTTGCACCTTGAATAATAAATAATTTAAAGTTACAAAGGACATTTTGGGGGCTGAAGAATTTAAGGGTAAGGTATCATGATTTCTGCAACTCACACTCAAATGGTTTGGCCAACACAATGTCCCTATATATTTAGAGATAGCAAATATAGTAAATGTTATAATTGATGAATTGAAAGTTTATAATGTATTATTGTACTGTTTTTCCAGCTTTTCTGTAGGTTTGAAATTTTTCAAAATCAAATCAGGAAATATAATGACAGGAAGAAAAAGTTGACGAAAAAACAAACTTGCATTAAGTGCAGTCACTAAAGCTTGTCTTGTTTGCAGTGTCTGGATAAATGTGACTGGTTTCTGGACTTTTTTTTTTAAACGATCCATTTTATATCATAAAAAATATATATCTTTATTGATTTCAGAGAAAGGAAGGGAGAGGGAGAGAGAGAAACATCAATAATGAGAGAGTCATTGATCGGCTGCCTCCTGCAAGCCCCCGACTCNTATTGATTTCAGAGAAAGGAAGGGAGAGGGAGAGAGAGAAACATCAATAATGAGAGAGTCATTGATCAGCTGCCTCCTGCAAGCCCCCGACTGGGAATTGAACCCCCAACCCAGGCATGTGCCCTGACCGGGAATCGAACCACGATCCCCTGGATCATAGGTTGATGCTCAACCGCTGAGCCACACCGGTTGGGCAGCATCTCAGTCCTTGTTAGGTAAGGGAAAACTTTTAAGTCTGTGTAATCAAGAAACAAGCTGTACACTCACTTTATTTCTACTATGCTTGGGGCTACAGGTATGCATTGGATGAACAATTAGCTTGTCTGCTGATACAACAAATCAAAAACAGGATTGTGATCACCACTGCCTTATAGTTCAACCAGTAGTGCTGTAGGATGGTATCCCTTCTTAATGCCACCACTTGGCTCCTAGACTCTGCTTAATCTCTGGGCCTCTGTTTCCTTGGCTTTCAGGTCCCTGCAAGAACCACCTCGGAAGCATCCCTTAGGTCACTCTGCTCCGTGTAATAGCCCAACTTGAATCCATGGTTTCTACTGTTCCTCCATCATCCTTCTACTAAGAATGCTGTGGGTTAATTGCCTGAAGGGAAAGCTTCTCATTCCCCAAAACAAGTCAAATGAATTCTGTTGGCACTAAAGATTTGCCTTTTATGTTGTGCTTGGCCACTGAGTCTCTTCTCACTTTAAAAACAAGGTCCATGAAAAAGATGCTGTTTTTTGAAGGAATCTCTACCTTTCCAAGACAGCCT